TTACTGTTTATATTTAATGTTGCCATTATTATACATTAAAAAAAATCCAAACAAGATAGATATTTGCAAAATAGAAAACAAATCTAACGTATTGCAATTGAATATGATAAAATAGTCTTGACTGAATATTAACAAGGAATTTTGATAAGCTGTCTCAGGTTTTTTTCTCCTTAGCTGTCAAGGCCTACCATTACTTTTTCACAGAATGTTCTTAGCTATTAGTTATAGTGGAATTGTGTAAGTGCAAGTAATCACTGAATTTGATATTCTTAAATGTTATTGCTGAACTGTTCTGTACTGGAGTTTCAAGTGAATTTTGCCATTTATCCTGGTTTTAATTTAAGTCATAGGTGGATTAATGTGTGTCTGTGTATCAATACCTTTTTATTTTCAACTTGCTACAGATCACACTACAGAGCAGATTGGCTGTGCAGAAAACAAAATTATCTATATGTGTACAACCTCCTTTAGCATTGACCCGTGATCAGTTCATCTTTGATTTAGGTAAATTCTTTTACTATTACAAAGTATTATACTGTATTGCTTTTTCTGGGAATGTTTCAGCTTTATTCTAAGAGTTACTTAGACTGTCTAAGTATACGTGCACCAAGCTTAATTTTTTACATGTTAATAATGGAGATTAGAGTCCATTTAAAAAAAAAAAGAAAGAAACTGTAGTGGTAGTCAAAAAACCCTAGCAGACTCTTAGAGTGTATACAGAAACCAAAAGATAGAAAATAATGTTCAAATTACTATACATTCAAACAGTGTAATGGTACATCCTCCCCTGTAAAACTGCATCTGGTACTGGTCAATCTACTTCAAAAAGGATGTGGTATTATGGTTACTGTGCCTGTACAAAGAGCTTCTGCTGAGCCACAAGGGAGAATTTTTTTGCCCAGTCAGACATAAACTTCATACTTAGCAGTGCCCACTCTACCTGCTCTGGCTTCCTTTTACAGCCTCTTAGAAATTCAGGTAGCTGCAGGATGGATTGCACTGAAGATTGCAGAAGGAGTCGCAGGCCACAGACAAGTGTTTTGTGGCCCAGATCTGGCTCACAGACTATATATATGACAACCCTGGTCAGAAGCATCTAACATTGGTCTCTGCTGAGACAGGAAAATGGAACTGATAGATCTTTGGTCTCTTCTGGAATACCAGTTCCTATGGTCCTACAGCATGTTCCCTAAGAGAGGACTGATGGCCCTAATAGTCTGACCTCAATATAGAAATGCATTTGTAGAGTCTGTCTTATGTTTGCTGTACACTGACATTTCACTGTTGTATTTTAAGAGTTTTTAATTAGAGCATCTTGTTTTGGTTTTAATAATATATATCAAAGAAAAACATTATGTACAAATTTGATTGAATTAGTTTGATGGAAATGTATAATGTAACTTAATATAAAATATTTCCTGAAGTATTGGAAAAATCTGGTTTTCTTTCAGTTGGCCTTATTTGTTTAATATATTTTATTATTTGTAGAGTCATGCGGCTCAAAAGCTGTGGCCCTTTCTGTCTTTCTAAAGGGGAATTATCCACCAGCGGAGCTGGAAGGAAATGTTGTGGCTTCCTATAGCACACCTACAGGTGAGCAACATGATTTCAGAGTTGTTGTTGTTGTTTTTTTTTTTTTGTAAAGGCTTTGATTCTCTTATGGCTCTTCTTTTTTTAAAACTCCTTTAAAGGAATTAAAAGTTAATAGGGTGCTGAAGAATTTGGTCTCCATTTGCTTTAGTTAATATTTTATGTAGCACTATTAACTTGCCTGACCAGTTTACAGAGTTAACGGTATACATTTATAACTTGGGAAACAGGCTTCCATGTGCTGCTCCAGAAATTTGCTTCAATCCTGACTCAAGTGGGACCTCCTTTAGGGAAGAGAAGTTAATTACCTCTTATGACCATTTAGTTCTTGACCTCACTGCAGAAGCTGCCAACAAAAGTGACAATTACTGTCTCTGCATAGAGCAGGAGGATTAAATGGATGCTGGGCTGAATATTCCCTCAATCAGTTTCCCTTTTAGTCTGTGGAATAGCACTTATAATTGCTTTACTTGCTTAGAATAACTAAGAACAAAACCTGAGTTATTGAATTTTATCATGTCCTAATGACCCCATGGTGACACAACAGGCCCATTTGCCTTGATGTCTATTGTCTTTGCACATCTTGCTGGCTAATCAGCTGTCATCTTAGGACAAGGAACTAAATTGAATAATTTATGTCATGTCATGACAGTGTCATGTTTATTCATTACTAAACATACTGCTTAATTCTCACTCAGAAGCAGCATTTTTATAATGGGTGTTTTTCTTGATCTCAGGAAGCCTAAAGATCATTGGATTCCACAAGAATCATAGCCATCTTCAGAGGCTTTGAGAAATACATCTGCACAATACTAATAAAGTGTTGAGAACAACATCTTTTGTTTTCCATAATAAATTAAACACGATATTTTCCAAGGCACTCTTGCTGATATTTTGAAAGACCTGAGTCGACAAAACATGTTTGCTAGTGAATCCTTGCCTGTGGGATTCCTCCCCTCTGGTGGGCCACTAGAGCCTTAGTTAGCAAAGCATAATTTTTTTGGTTAAACATGAATTTGAGTGTGGTTCATCAGTTGAGAAGTTTTTCCTGTGATGGGCTGGGCAGTTCAAGGAGACATGCTGTTCTTGTGCTACGTCTTTTTGGTAGTTTGAAGTGCAGTTTTATTTGTAAATATAACTATAAAAATGGCTCACTGTAACACAGATCTGTCCTCTTCAGGCTAAATTATCTGCCTGTGCAGAAAGTAGGGGGTTAAGGATGCTCTGTATCATCTGCTCAAGCAGCAGACAGTTCAAGGGATGGTCAGGGATTCAGAGCTTCTAGTGACAGAGATTTATTCATTACTAAACATACTGTTTAATTCTCACTCAGAAGCAGCAGGGATTCAGAGCTTCTAGTGACAGAGTGTGCAGTACGTTCTTAAGAGCTCTATCTGGGGGCATGTGGGAATGTCTGTGGATATCCTCTAATATGGAGCTTCATGTAAATCACACAATCTAGTCTTGGGTTTGTTGAATCAGACCCCCTGATTTTAGTGATATGCATTTTTACTGCTTTTTTCCCTCCTGCTAGCACTGCAGATCGAACATAGCAAAAAGAGAGTGAGCTGAATGTATATTTCTTTTCACTGTTTAATGAATTATTTACTTTTGTAATAGTTAATAACAATGAAAGAAAATATCACAGTTGAATTTTCAGAGATTGTGTTTGTAGACAAGAAACAAAAACTTGTAACTTGATATATTTGATCGGAAATCTTTGAAATATAGTAATCATAAGAAAATATTGAACCATTTCATACAGAATCACTTTAGAACAGGGCTCCTCTTGAACATGTTGTGTTTAATTGTGGAATTTGTCCAGCACAAGTAGCACAAAATAGTTGAATAAAATAGATGACTTAATGGTTCAGAACAGAAGTTCTGTTGCATAATTAGGCTTGGCTAGTTCAAGAGAGTTGTGTATAAACACACTATCCCTTTAGAAATCAAGTCCTCAGGTAGCATTTAGGTCTATGAAAATATATTCTTTCATTATCTCACAATATCTGAACAGGAACCTTTCACTGGAATGGATTTTTGTTTGTTTAAATGATGAATTGTGGGTAAAATTTTATGCTTGGTGTAATTCTGTGGAACTGAATACAGTTTATTTAATTTGTCTTTACTAAGTTGGATGAAGTTACACAAGGCATGAATCTGGCTTTTTCTAGTTAATTTTGGTTAGTGCTATGGCTTATATTTAGACATATTAAAACATATTAGATTTTGCTTTTAACAAAAAATACATGTATTTTTTAAAGTGTTAATTATTGTATCTCTTCTTTGTTTCCTCTTTAAACAATACCTAACATATGCTTTTTTTTTCTGTCGTCTTCCTGTTGCTGATTATGCGGTAGATCTCAATCCTGAAGGTGAGTGAAAGAAAAGATAGAATAACTGGACAGAGTGTTGTAAATGACAGCTGATTTTCCATGAAACATATTTGGAAGTGAATTGTGAATCTGTTGTTTAGGCGGTGACTCTTACTAGTTTTTATATCCTCCTTGGAACAATGTTCTGGCTTGGCATTGCTCAAAGGACAGCTGTTGGGAATTATGGGAGAGAGTTTGAGGCTTAGATGCAAGGGGGGTGGGGAGAGATAGTTATCAATATGAAAAGTGGAATGCACCAATGATAATTTTTTTTGAAATTATAATACATTTACGTGTTCATAAAATTGAATCTACAAAAACAATGAGGAGGCCTGTGGCACCTTATTGACTAACAGATTTATTTGGGCACGAGTTTTCTGGGTAAAAACCACTTTGTCAGATGGTTTTTATCCAAGAAAGCTTATGCCCAAGTAAATCTGTTAGTCTATAAGCTGCCACAGGACTCCTTGATTTTGCAGATACAGATTAACACAGCTACCCCTCTGAGAACTGGAATCTAAAGTTTTAAAGTGTTTTATTTTATCTTGAGGACAGTCATGGTAAATATTAATTCTAATATTATTGCTTACCTTATTCTTAGCCACCTTTCATTTTTAGGTGTTATCTATAGCCAGGAGCAACTGGTGAACACCCCCTCCCCCAGGAAGGGCTGGGACTACCTCCCTCTCCCAAATGATGTGGCCGGGGGTCTGGCCCCTTTGCACTCACTGGCAGTGGCAGGGGAAGTGAAGCAGCATGGTCCCAGCTCATGCCACTTCCTGCCACTGAGTGGAGGATTCCACCCCTCCCCAGGCAACTTGGCTGTGTCAACAGAGTGAGCTGGGGCTGCATTGCTCTACTTCCCCTGCTGCTACCAGTGAGTACAGGGGAGGGGGCGGACCCTTGTTGTAGGTGCCAGGCTCCCCCACTAGTCCCTGCTGGTCCCTTGCCCCTCTCACACATGGCGTTTGGTGCGTCATGTGCTCCCACTCATCGCCCCTGTTTTTATAGCTCATCACATTCATCTGAAATTAAGCTTTATTTTATTTAACCTTTCTTATTGTGAAAAATCTTTGGGATTTGAAATGTTGCCATGTTATCTGTGCATAGAGTTGAAACAGTGGCTGAGAATTGTGTGGCTTGCCTCCATTCATCCGAGTTCTTCTTAGAACTCTCTTGTGGAAGGCTGAAAGTTGATTTCTAGGTGTGTGTCTACACAGCAGTGCTTAACTTGAAATAAGCTACACAAATTGAGCTTTGTCAATTACATAGCTTATTTCAAAATTGGGAGCGTCTACACAGTACTTATTTCGAAATAATAGAGAGGTGTTAGTCTGATCTTGCTAAACAAAAGGAAAAACTATAGCACTTTAAAGACTAACAAGATGGTTTAATAGGCGATGAGCTTTCATGGGCCAGACCCACTTCCTCAGATGATATTCTGGAAAAGATTTGGCATAACCATATATACCAAAGGAATACAATGAAAAAAGTGAACACATTATTAAACTGACAAATCAGATTTAGTACAGAAGGTAGGGTAAGGGAGAGGGAGGGAGGGACTAGCTATTTGAGTCAATGAATGGCTAATCAGGGGTGATAAGTGGGCAAGCTATCTTTGTAATGGGTAAGGTGACTAGGCTGAAAAATGAACATTCTTGAGTTTTGGAAGCTCCCTGTTTTCTGGATATGTTTAAAGTTTACATCAAGGCTCTATGGCATGGACATTTATTTTTCTGATTTAGTAAGAAAGCTTCTCTATTTGGATGTACTGAGATATTACTGAATGGGATGTCTAGTCACCCTAGTAATAGGTCTTGCATCATCCTCTTCTGCCAAGTAATATACATCAGCTGTAAGCTGTTCCCATAGGAGCAGAAATACTTGATAGTTGAGTAGTAATAGAGATGTAGCCGTGTTAGTCTGGTCTTGCTGAAACACAAAACAGGACTATGCAGCACTTTAAAGACTAACAAGATGGGTTTAAAGTGCTGCATAGTCCTGTCTTTTGATAGTTGAGGAAGAGGTTCTAGTTGTCAAATAGGCCATATAAGTTCTCTGCTACTATCTCCTCAGAAGACCCTTCGAGGTAGTGAAGGACCATGTGCTGCTGAAATGGCTCCATCAGATGAAAGATACTAGCACCTTGCTGATGCACTGGTACCTGATTCTGTAGCCATAGGCCTCCACCATTCAACTTTGAAACAATAAGGAACACACCAATGCAGATGTATTGTCATGATTGGGGGGGGGGAGGAAAGGGGACCTGACCAGCCCCAAAGATCAGGAACTGGGTTTATGGGGGGAGGAGGAGGTGTATTGCAAAGAGGTGTGCACCTTCAGAAATTGACAGTGACGTGTGGCCGATTATCCCCTGGTGGGAAGAAAACCATGCTCACCACACTGGAAAGAGGGGTTAAGACAGTAACAGGAAGTAAAAAGGCAGGCCAGGGCTGGATTAAGGTTATGAGGAGCCTAAGGCTAGTGGAAGGGGAAGGGCCTCAGTATGAATTACTGAAGTCATTAAACGTTTATCTATCTATCTATCTATCTATCTATCTATCTATCTATCTATCTATCTATCTATCTATCTATCTATCTATCTATCTATCTATCTATCTTTAAACAGTTTCCCCTCCCCCCACTTTAGCTGTGGCAAAGTCATGAATGATGTCTTCATAGTTCAAAGAGCTGACAAATTCATTCTCAATACTCAGTAGGAGCAAAGCACTGAGATGCTCTTGAGTCGTGGTGGATCAGAGGACATTTTTGACCCTTGTTAGAAGAGAAAAGAAATGTGACTACTTGGTACATCCAGAGTTTCAGGATGTTGTTCAATGGAAAGTGGATGCAACATTCTTTTAAACTGGTTTAACCAAGTACAGTATAGCAGAGGGTTCAGTGATAATTTGTAATCTCTTACGGTATATTCTGTGGGTCACTGTAATTATTATGTGTGTTTAAAATTCATGTTTAATTTTTTAAATACAAATATCTGTTTTTGTTAGAATATGTAAGAAAGAGGGCAGTACACTGAAAAGATACCTTTTGATTTTTGCTTATTAAGGGCTGGATGAAATTTCCAACAAAAGTTAGACAAGTGTTAATGTACTGTTGAAGAGATGATAAGCCAAAATTTGTTGCCATTTGATGGATGGCAGATTTTGTTAAAGGGATTGGCAAATAAACAGCCATTTATGTTCTGGAAGTATGTGGTTGTCATGATAATCGAGTGGAGTACGTACATATATTACTGGTGTATCCATATATTCCATTCAACATTTCAAGCATGTGCCATGCAATTTGCAGTCAATTGGCTGAAGGTCTGTACAAATCCATAAAATTCTTGTGCTATATATAAAGCTTTAATAAATTTGGGTAATACTGTTTTCATGGAGTCTGAAACCAAAACATTCTGTTATAATTTGTCATTAAAAGAGTACTTTTCATTGTTTTAAAACTGTTTAGGTTGAAAATTAACCTTAATCCAAACGTTTGCATGGTTTGGCCATTTTGTTTTATACCACTAGAAATGGTATATAGCGTTTTGATTAATAATATAATGAAATGTCTTGCCCTCAGAATACAGGTATTGTAACTATTAATGCAAACTATCCTGTCTTTTCAGGAATACCAAGAGTTGCTCAGTGCAAATTTAGACTGCCCTTGCGGTTAATTTGCTTTCCAGCTCAACCTTCAAAAACAGCAAATCACAAACTAACTATTGATACCAATAAGCCTCCTGTCAGTCTTGTGAATCTTTTCCCAGGTAGGACTTTTGATGGTGATATTGTCTGCAATGTAAGAAATGTTAGGAATTCAGATTGGAATCTTTCATCATGAAGTAATGATAGATTAATTATAAGGTAATTGCCAGATAATAAATACAAAGCTGAATATCTTTGTTAGCTTTAGTGTTAGAAAGCTATGTATTATCAGGATATCAATGTAGGACTTTTAAATGTTGTTAAATCCTGATTATTATTGTTGTTTTTATTATCAAAATGCTTCATTCGTGACTGTGATGTTGCAGCATTTAAAATGTGAATATTTTCCCTTATTGTTATGCAGTATTCTGTACATATTGATTTTCTGATATATTTATGGTTCAGGTAAGTAATCCTATAAAGATCTACCTTTCTGGATTTTTGTATCTTCTGCATTTAGCTTTCAGTAAAAGTTTCAGTGTTGTCTGAAAGCTTTGGAAATTTTTCCCTGTTATGAGTTTCCATTTTACAAATACATTTTAAAATAATACATTTTATTTTATAATGTTGGGATTCACATCACTATTATTATATTGAACAAACTGAAAAATGTAATAAGACAATTTTCAAAAAGAGAAATGTACAGAGAACAAAATTTACAATTAGTCCAAAGGTTCCAAAACAATTTGTACTGGTCCAGAACAACATATAATTACAATTTTTAAATTAAAGCATATATTTCAGACTGGTGGCCAAAGAATCCATCAAATTCTGTGGCTTTAAATACTGTTTTTTTTACAGTGGCTGAATAAGGAGCAAGGAACATTGTCTTGTGGTCTATGAGGAAACTGGATTTATGTGGGTCCATTAATATATATTGGCTATTGTTTCCCCTCCTCCTTCTGACTTTTTTTGTCATAGTGGATTTATGTATATACCCTTGGTCTAGCCCTTTTAAGACCTAGTATGCTTTACAGTATACTACATACAGTAGTAAAATTCAACAGGCAGTCCCCGACTTACGCGGATCCGACTTATGTCGGATCCGCACTTACGAACGGGACTTTCTCGCCCTGGAGCTCGCAGGCAGCGGGACCGCCCAGAGCGCAGCGGACCCGCCACCTCGACCTCTGGGGCGAGAAAAGCTGCTCCGGGTGCCCCTGGTCTGCTGGGGACCGTCTCCAGCAGACCAGGGACACCTGGAGCAAAGCCCGGAGGCCGAGG